TATATACAGCGCGTATCGTCGCGCGAGCTTTAAGATCTGGAAAAGAAGAAGAAAAAGAGGAGAAGGAGAAGGAGAGGATAGGGGAAAGGTAGACGAGGGTGATCAGAGGAAGTGATCTATGTCGGGATTGAGAGGGGGCGGAATAGGTGGAAGAAAAGTGGCCATTGCCGCACGAGTCGTCGGCGCATCTTCCTCATGGAAGTGATGTTGGACGAATAAGGGGTAAAGGAAAGCCCCCGGCACATGTGAGAGGACACGTGGCGCCAGATCCGCTACCGCTCGCACCACCCGCTTGCGCACCGATCGGGGCCCTGGACCCGTCATCACCACATGAGTCTCGGTGTAAGGCCACCGCTCCCGCTTCTGCGCCGCGAAGAGCAGGAAGTGGTACATTGCATTTGGACGCTGCCCGGTCTCGTAGATGAGCGTCCCCGCCAATCGCGCCGCAATACACCCTTGGAAAGTTGGTGTCAGATATGGCTCCCATGCCGGATCAGGGCGCGACGCCCCCACGATAGCCTTGAGCCTGATGGTGGCGGGCTCCACCATGAAGTCCACCTCGGTCGGATGGACCGTCCGGCTCGGATGAACTACTAATGTCAATGACCGGGGCACCCCGTGGTGGCTGGCGGGAGCAGAGAGGTCCCGCGAGGACGGGGGGTCTGGATATGGGATCCGGAAATCCCATTCGGTTTCCTCCTCCAGCTGCTGCTGCTGCTGATGGCCCGGCTCCATCAAGATTGAGATCGGGCACACGCGGAATGGGCGGCGATGGCACGATAGTCTCCTTAACGAGCGTCGCCGCGCTCCCAGGCACAGGGTTAGAAATCCGTGTACGCGCGGGCTGAACCACCTCCTCGCCGTCGCCGATCCTGCTGCCTTGCGCTCCTGGCGACGGGTGGCATCTCTTCCTCTTCGGCATCTTCTTCGGGGCCTTCGGTGGCGCTGGTCGAGGATACGACGAGGGAGGACACAACGACCTTTCCTCCGGGAAGTCCTCCAATCTCTCCGCGCGCTGCGCAATGTAATCTGGGATGACGACCACATTGTATGTTCTTCGCGGGGTCGTCGCCGTCCGCAATCGTGGTTGGATCTCCTCCTCCTCGCTCGCGATCACTTGCGCAATGGAGAGGAGCTCAAGATGTATGAGCTCCAACAATCCCGGATCGATTGTCTGGAGCGGGGCGAAGGGGTACAGCGCCACCGTCCCTTCCTTCTCCGCTGGCTTGGGCCGCGTGATGACGTAGTAAACGACGAAGTGCTCCCCGATAGCATGGTCTTCGTGATCCACGAAGAACCGGAACATCCCCACGGCCACCGACTTGTACAGCGCACGGTGCAACTTCCACGCGTCTTCGTTGACGAAGGGCAGCGGCTCCACGTCAGTTAGCTCTACCAAATCCTCCGGGAACTCGCGCATGGGGTAAGGGCCCTCCGTAAGCTGGTAGGGGAGGGTGGTGTAGGAGAAGAAAGGAGGCATTTAGTACGGGACAGGGGGAATAGCTTGGAGGTTGAGAGGAGCAGCGGGAGGGAGAAGCGCGGGGAGTTGCGGCACCGACGCAATCGGTCTGTCCTCTGCCCTACGCAGCAGCACTTCGTGGGCTGTGAATCGGTGTCCCCCCCGTCCTTGCACTCTGGCCACTGATCTGGACGCTTCCACCGCGTATTCGCGCACAAAGTTGCTCGCCGGTTCCTGATGCTGCTGCGGTAGGACCGTCAAGTCTCCGATGAAGGTGGCGACGCTGTGCACGAAGTTGGGTGCCACCTGGAGCGCACGAAACTCGATGAATACTCGGGTCGTCTCCTGGCCAGGCAACTGCGTCACGTCCACATACACTCCCGCATATGTCAGCCGATCGCAAAGCAACGACTACGCTGCCAAATCAGCAACCCCGGGCGCTGGCACGTTCACCTGTTGGATGTCGTACCGCAATTGCCTCTCCTCATTAAACCGATGCCGCAACCAGCGATCTGCATGCGGCGTCTGGAAGTGCTCGAGGGGCTCATGCTCCGACTGGCGATGGTTTATCCTGCTCCCTGAAACTCTCTGCACCAATGGACGAGGCAGATCGGGAAGTGGAGGAGGATTGAGAAGGAGAGGGTGATCTCGCAGGAGCGGGGGTCCGTAGGGGACCTATCGATGGCTGGAAGGGCCGGAGCGAGGCAGCGTGCTGTGTCAGCGGTCGGTCCTGGGAGTTGTGACGGGGAATCAACTTCACGGAGTGCTGTCCCTGTGCACCAACTTCCGTGACCTCGTAAATGCCTGTGTAGCGCGGGTGGATCTTGGAGGAACGCACAGATTTCCGTACCTGCACCAAGTCCCCAACTTTATAGCGGGGCAGCGGTCCCGCCGATGCGTGTCGATTCTCATAGTCACGGATCTGCCGTTGATGTGTCCGATCTACGGCCTGCTGTCGACGGCGAGCTAATGGGGGATAGGCCCTAGCCATTGAGTCCATGTAGTGGCGGACCTTGTCTCGATTCTGGGCCCGTGTTGCTCCAACTTCCGTACCTACGAAGGGGGACAATTGCACCTGAGGGACACTATTGGTTCTCAGTTGAAAGGGGGACACCCCAGTACTGTCGTGTGGGGTAGCCTGATAAACGACCAAAATGTGATCGACAATGACCGGCCAGGATCGGGTGTCTCCCACAGTGATATTTCGTCTAAGGGCCGTCTTTATCAGTCGGTTGGCATTCTCTACCAGGCCATTGGCTTGAGGCCAATGCCCCGGTGAGTAGATAATCTTAACGTCCGCCCAGACTAGGTGACGTTCTACTTCGCCTTGAAATTCCGACCCATTGTCCATGTGTACCTCTTCTACGTCTAGATGCATACACAAAAATCGATTAACGTACCAGGCTACTTCCTGCGAATTCCGGCTGGTCATAGGGTACGCCTCAATCCATTTTGAAAAATGATCGACGACCACTAAAAGAACATTGAGCTCTCCCTGATCGACGGGCCCTCTCGGAACATTGATATACGTCGTATCGATGCTAACCCTCTGAAAGGGGCGCTCTACATGAGTGGGAACCATCGTCCTAGGCATTTGTACCGGGGCCTTGTCCGCCACGCAGGCCGGGCAATTCCGAATGATATATTTCACATCTTCCCGAATTTTCGACCAGTACCATCCGTTCTTTTCGATGGCTTTTTCCGTGTACTTGACCGCGAAATGGACCGCATCCTCCTCATGCGCAGCTCATGTCCAATCGAACCTAGCAAGAGGGTGTGGAACCGTCAACCAGCTAGACTCTCCGTCGTCATCGACCTTCCATTTTTGTAATGTCAGGCCCAGCCAGCGATAGTCCTGCGCCCGCTCCGTGACTCTCCGCCATTCGACTTTGGTAAGTTCTGATAGCGAGTCGCCTGACAGTCTCCATAGCAACAGAAGGTCCATCCAGGCTTTGCCCGACGGGCACTTGGCGCAAATCCGTCGGTTGTTCTAGCGTCCAGATACCGCTTCTCGGTAGGGACTTGGTCCGTTCTACAGTTGGGACAGACCCACGTCTTTTCACTTCGGTACCTAACACACTGTGCGTGAGATTTGACTGTATGACACTGACTACACTGTACCCATAAAAGAAAACTGGGCCCTCCCGGATGTGACCCTTCTTGGTCCGGGATCATGGGCAAGGTACAAAAGAAACAGGGACTTAGGTGTGTTTCAGGAGACAAGTTGGGGCTAGACGAGAGAGCAAGGGAGTGGGATGAGGGCAGAGAGATAGCGTCGACCATCTCTGATGAAACCTTCATTCCGGACTCAGGCGTCGTCCTTACGCAGCACGTGTAGCTCCCCGTAGTGTGGTTTCGTCGCCGCAAATTCTGGCCTCCACGGAATGAGTCGCTCGTTGGCAGGACACTTGTTGGGCGGCAGAAGGCGCGTTACCATGTTGCCGCGTGGCACGGTGGCGGATGTCGAAGTCATAGTCTTGCAGATGCACCGCCTACCTGCCCAGTGTCCCCGTGTAGTCCGTGTTGTTGCGTAGGGACAGCAGCGGCTGATGATCCGTTACCAGCATGAATTTCTGGCCGTATAGATACGGTCGGAAGTGCTGAATCCCCCACACCACCGCCAGGCATTCACCTTTGCACGCCTCGTAATTAGCCTGCGCCTGGCTCAGCGTCTTGGACGCATACTCAATGMCGTSCYCCCTYCCGTCCTTGCCGTGCTGAGTCAGCACCGCCGATATAGCCTGAGGCTGCCAGTCTGTGTATAGTGCGAACGGTCTTGTCGGGTCGGGGCATGCCAATACAGGAGCAGATGTATGAGCCTCCTTCAACGCCTGAAACGCCGCTTCACATTCCGATGCCCAGATCAGCTGTTCCTCTTTCTTCAGCAGGTTCGTGAGGGGCTTCGCTATGCCGGTGAACCCCTTGATGAAGCGTCGGTAATAGGATGCCAGCCCTAGAAAAGCCCGAACCTGGGTGAGTGTGACCGGCGCCGGGGCGTCTTTAACTGCTGCCACCTTCCTCGGATCTGGTTTTAGTCCGTCGACCGTAACGATATACCCCAAGAATGAGATCTCCAACAATAAGAACTCGCTTTTCTCCAAGGCCACTTTGAACCCTGCATCTTTCAGTGCATGCAAAACCCACTCAATGTGATCCACGTGGTACTCGTGTGTTTTTGAAAAGACCAAAATATCATCCATGTACACAATCACGCAGAAATTGATCAGGGGCTAGGTTAGTCGGGTTTTGTTTACGAACTCAGCGAAGGCCATATTCATGGCCCGCTGAAACGTTGCAGGGGCGTTACAAATTCCCATGGGACACCGGACCCATTGCCACGTGCCCTCAAACAGGACAAAGGCGGTTTTGGGTTGGTCCTCCGGTCGGACTGCGACGTGGTGAAAACCGTGTCGAATATCGAACTTGGAAAAGACTCGAACAGTCCCGATAGCATCTAACAAATCATTGATTCGCAGCAATGGATACACATCTTTGGTAGTGATGGCGTTCAATTTCCGGTAGTCGATACATACCCGAACCGAGCCATTTCGTTTTGGCACGAGGACCACGGGAAAAGACCATGGTCCCAGCGATGGTTCGACCCACCCCAACCGCCCGAATTCCCGTACCCTTTCCAACGCCAGTTGCCTTTCTTTAAGGGAATATCGGTACGGTCAGCAATGTATCGGGGCGTGATCCCCGGTGTCAATCGCGTGTTGTATCAAAGGGGTTAGCCTTATGTCGTGGTCCTGAATGTTGACGGCCTCAAGATAGGCCCGTATAACGGCCAAGAGGAGGCGTTTGTATTCGTCCGGAACACGGGCTGGTAATTGAACTTCTACGATTCCCCCAGGAAAGGAGACCGTCGTCGTAACCGTGGGGACCGCGGCGTTGGCATCGGGCGAGGCCCCAAACAAAGAGTTGTCAGTTTTTTTCGAAAGGACCGTCGCAATAAGTTGACTGTCCGCCGGACTCATCGGCTCGCTTTCCATGTCACTGTCGCTGTCCAGTTCGGGTTCGACCGAGGGTTCGACCGAAAAGGCCTGCGCCAGTTCCCTCGGCCCCCACCGATACTCCCTCGTTCGGGGTTGAAACGACACCCCCTCTTTCAGGAGTATCGCGGCTTTTTCATTCGTGAGTAGGGGCCATGGAGGTCGAAAAGATAAATCGCACAGCCCCTCAGCTCGGTAAACCTTTCAGGTAGGGGGTCCGTCCGGAGATACAAGGACGCAGGGGGTTCCGAAAGGTCAGCTATTCGGGACACCCTCAGCAGGGGTTCCCCCTGCACCACGGAGGAGAACGYGTGCGACCAATTGGACTCGCTCCGAACWWTTTSYAGTGGTTCTCGCCGCCAAGAATTGCGCCACCGATCCTGTACTCGGATCGGATATCGGTCGGGTGCATCAGTCTTGTCAGTTTCCGTCGAGGGTTCATTTTCGTCTGGTGACAGGCGTCGGATCATGTTGATTTGATGGGCTTTAGTGGTGAGGCGAGGCGCCGGCTGGGTGCGTATGCGCACCGCCAGTCTCATTGGTATCATTTGGGGTTTGGGGTGGGCCGATGTGAGCACCACCTTACAGATGTGAAAGTGCATTCGCGCTTTGACTGCCGCCTACCATGGAATGCCTAGCAGAACATCATACGCCTGTACATCCAGCACGATCACGTCACACAAACAATGCACCCACCCCACCCGTATGGGCACGTTCGTTATTCGCCCTTTACAATGAATACTATCTTCCGTAGCAGATATGTACAGTTCATCCGGCCTGAGGGGCTGAACCTGTCCTTCCCTTCCCAACTATTTCGTCAATCTCCAAGAAATGGTGACCGCCGATGATCCCGAGTCTAGGATGGTGGCCGAGGGGTTTCCCCAGACCTCACAGTCACACTCTACGCCTTTCCAGGTTATAAGATAGGCCCATGAGGAATACCTCGGGTTTTTCCGAGGCAGAATCTACGGTCTGGATCATCCCTATCCGGTTGGCTTGGTGCACCCCTGAGGTCGAGGGCTGTGACTCCTCGTTAGTGGGTGGGTCCCATAGGACCGTCTTTTTGCCCTTTCGACTTTCCTCGAATCGGCGCCTGTTTTTGAGGCACCGTTCGATCAACTTTTCGTTAGCCGCTTCGGAAATGGTTAGCAGATATGGAATAGGGACGGGGATCCGAAGATCCAGAGCCTTCAAGGCATCCAATACGTCGATATGGCCATCCTTGTATTCAGGACCTGCTACCGCAAGATCCGCGAATCCTGGTCGCCACGGCCCGAGGTCGCTTTCCTCGGTAATCCGTTGGACGTGACGTATCACTCCGATGGTCCCGGGTTCGAACATTGCTGCCGCCATATACTCATCAGGTCCCATCTAAGTGGCCGCCGGGGTCACCATCTCCGTCGTTCCTGTGTCTATTACTGTGGCTACCCTCCCCTGACCTGCAGCGGTGGGAGCAGCCAGCGGGATTTGGGAAGGTCCAGTGGGCCCGCACTGAGTTCGGGGTTTCAGACAATCTTTCGCAAGGTGGCCTGGCTGATTACAGTTGTAACAGCGTAGGGGTGGGACAGCCCTGGCCACGGCCGGTCTTATCATAGGGGCTTCGGCAGCCATAGCCGCCTGTTGCCGTTGTGCGGCGGCTATGCGTTGCGGTTGCAGACCTTGAACAAACTCCGTCAACGGGCCTACTACCCTAACTAGCTGGGCCGCGACTTCTTTCATGGAGACTTCTTCCTCGCCCCGGCTTCCTTGCATTTGACTAGAGCGACGGGAGGCCGAAGCAGAGGAAGAAGCTTTCCGATCTGAGCCTTCTTTTGTCGGAAGCGATCTTCGAACATTCGTGCCGTAGCAGAGTAGCTATTGCATCGAACACCCAAAGGGTCATCTTCGTCGGATTCTGAGTCCAGGCCCACATCGTAATTTTCTTTCCTGTACTTAATTGCGTACTGAATTAGCTCCGTCAGGGTATGTTCTATAGGGTTGCATTTCTTGCGGATCTTTTTCCGCCGACGAGAGTCAAACAGTCCTCTGACAAAATCCGTCCGTACCATTTTCTCATCCACCCCGGAGCGTTCGGCTAGGTACGTAAAACGTTCAACATATCTAGCCAAGGTCTCTCGAGGCTGCTGTGTGTATTCCTTTATTAAACGGAGGCATTGACCAGGTGCGATGTAATCAAATCTATCGAGAAATTTCCTCTGGAAGACTGCCCAATTAGTGAAGGGGTTTTCTCCGTACCACTCAAAAGCAGTCTCGGCTAACCTTCCGGAAATTCGTTCTCGGAGCAACTGGTCCGACCAGCCCTGGGCTTTCAAGGAAGCTAGCTAGGTGCGAGGATCGGTGTCATCTTCAGAAAAAATGGGAACTTCGGAGGGAGGAGGTACAAAGTACAGGGGATGATTGGCCATCCCCGCGTGGTTGTCGCCGTCATTTTCACCCCCAATTCCGGGTTCCACCATCGCGGGAGACGGGTTTCGAGCCCGACCTCTCGCTCCGTTTTGATTGCTATTCGCGGACCTCCGTCGAAGGGGAGCCAGCCTACTCAAGAATGCGAAAAATCTAATGAAAATATCAAAAAGAAAAAAAAAGGAGAAACTTTAAAACAGGGTAATCGTCCGAGGAAAACCTCGGAGCCAAAACGAATAAGCACAAATACCAACCTCACGCCCCCTCGCAGCTTCCCATACGGGGTCGCCGATCAGAGTTCTAGGAGAGGCGTGGCCGAGGATTTTTGGCCGTAAGGGTTGAGTCCCCCGGACGGAACGGGAGGCTCTCGTTTCTTGACCGAGGTTTTTCTCGGAGTCGAACTGTTGTCGCGAAGACCCGCAGGGGTCGGATTACTCCGAAACGATCAAATCAGAACGGTTTCAGTGAAAATGAATTGCCATCGTGCATCGGGACGGGAAAAGGCATCAAGGGGAGGAGGCCATGGCGGCAGACGACAAAAACTCCGGCGTCGTGGGTTCCGGGGATAGATGGTGGGTTCGAAGCCTTCAGGCCTCGTCATCGGCCCCACGAAGTGGCCGAACCCTCGGGTCTTTTGCTGTAGAGGTGGTTGGTTCGAGGACTTCAAGCCTCGGCGTCGGACTCATAGAGCCCGCGCGAAAGTTTCCGGGAGGGTAGAGCGGCGGGAGGACCCGCCAGCATCTGAATTCGAAATTGCGTGGGCAGCGCCCCCGCACTACGGGAAGGCTCGGGGAAACGCGTCGCTCCCTCGTAACCCAGGACCAGCCGTCGCCACGAACACGAGTCCCCCCTGGCGACACCAGCGACAATCAAACTGCGGTCGCCACGCGGTGTGAGCGGCCGACCAGGGCAACACCGTTAAACCCATATAAGGCAATATTAGAGTCGGGGAATCAAAGTGATCAATCAACACAAACCCGTTCCCCCTTATCTCACAAGCCTGAGGCGGGTCTTGCCAACACACTTGCTCCRTCCGCCTCAGCGCGCGCCGTACGTCCGCATCGCAGTAGACGCTGTCGTCATCTGTGATGGGAAAGGTCGGTAGCGAAATGAGACGATCGGAGGTACGTGGTGAACACGGGAAAGATCCCGCGTTCCCGGTCATCCGAACCAACACTGAATCCATACAACAAACGTCGCAACTCTTCTCTCTCGAAAGTGGGTGCGTAGGGGGAGGATGACGAAATCTAAGCTTTCTCCCCTTGGCGGGCGCGTCGACCGTCCGCGCGGACGCAGGCGGTTGACGTCACCGGTATGGGGACGAGAAACTCTAAAAGGCGATGACTGTTAGTTCAAGAGAAAGGCGATCGAAAAGGGAGAGAGAGAGAGTAACGCCAAGCTCGGGAGCGCAGGAAAGGCCGCGGAGGGGAGGGGAACAACCGGATCAACACACTCATACTCCTAAGCAGCCGGTCCCCCAGTTCAGTTTCCCCATCCCCGCCCGGACGAGTACATACACACATACATGCATGCAATCAACAACCCATTGTCAAGACATCTAATCATCCATGGACCTTCGACGTCACTCATGCGCATAACCAGCTCCCATCACTCGGGGCTTCACACACACGACATGCATAGACCTGTCTCTTATACACATCTAGATGTGTATAAGAGACAGTCCATGGACCTTCGACGTCACTCATGCGCATAACCAGCT